GAGATGGCTTAGTGGATAAAGTGCCTGTAGCCCCAGTATCTATATAAAACAGCCAGGCAAGGTAATGTGCCTGTAACCCTAGCACTGACAGGGCATGTAAAGGAAGAAGGATCTCTGGGGCTCTCTAACCAGCCAGTCTAGCTGAAGTTCTGGATTCAGTAAAAGACACTGTCTCAAAATTAAGGTGGAGAGTCATAGAGGAAGACACCCAAAAGCCAACCCCTCCACACATCCACACATGCAAACACAAACAAGTCCCCCCCCAACCCCCACCCCCACACTTACACAGAGGGAGGAGGAAACATTTCCTATGAAATATCATATAACTAACATACTCCAACAAATAGTAAGAATAAATATAAAGCAGAACATTCCTCCCCCAGGCCCCCATGTTATTCCAAGCAGCTAAGAGTCAGGCCATCTGTCACAAATTAAGAGATACCACAAATGTCTTTTCACACACATACACACACACACACACACACACACACACACACACACACACACACACACACACACACACACACACACACACACACACACACACACACACACACACACACACACACACACACACACATATACACACACACAGAGGACTCACCCTGAAGCTGTGGGAGGCCACTGAGAAGCCCCAGTGACACCTGGACCAGGTGTGCAATAAGCCTCAGGCCCAACAGATAGGTAGGATAGTTCTCAGGAAGAGGTCTGGATACAAGAACCAGGACTGCCATAGAGTTAGAGCCAGACTGAATTATAACTTTTTAATTTCAAGGAAATTGTTTATTTTAAATCAGCCATCATCTAATGAATGTCTCATGACACCAGGTACTACTTTAAGCATTTTATATGTATTGATTCATTTAAGTCTAGAAGATCTATGAGGAATGTACTTTCATAATCTCATTTTATAAATTAGGAAACTAAAGTCAGAGAGCTAAAATAAATTGTAGATTTGGGGTTCATACCCAGGTTACCTAGCACTAGAATTCACCTTTGTTAATCACTGTGTTTTCCATAATCTCTCTAGTTTCCATTAAAACAGCAAAAATACCAACCACTTACACTGTTAAACTTCATTGAAAAAGGAGATGTCATTCATCAGTTTGATTTTACCACTAAAGAACTCTGGCCACAGAAGCAAGGGAACTTACCCCACTTCACACCAGCATTAAAACACAGAGCTTGAATTGGCTGCTAGGAGTCAGATTTCAGAGCCAGAGAATTAGCCACCACTCTAGAGACTTCACCTCCAGCTCTCTGCCTTTGTGCTAAGAACTCTTACTGCTTTTTCACAGTCTCAGTTTATTTATTGCTTCCCTCCCTCCACACCCTTAAAGTAATCTCTGCATTGAGTCTCCCTGAATAAGGAAACAATTTCATGCTGTTCTTCATCTGAACTGGAAACCTCAAGTAGAAATTTGTCTTTACTCCATCCATCTTGTCATGTTTTCCAAATAGCGATGATGAGATAGCTCTTGTTTAATTCTTGATAAGCAATAGCGCCTGTATGTATTAATTGTACATATTAGTGGAGTTTGGTGTGTATGGCAGCGTATGCATACAGCATTCACTGGTCAAGTCAGAGTAATTAGCATTTCTCTTTCATCAGTTTTTTTGGTTTGGAGCTTTTGAGTTCCTCTTCTCTAGATCTTCACAAAGTATAGAATAAGTTATTGCAAGCTTTAGTTATCCCCCACTGTGCCATGGAACAAGAGGACTTATTCTTTCTACATAACTGTTTCGGTACCCATTATCCATCCTCCCTTTATCCATCCCTACTACCTTTCCATTCTCTAATCATCACTATTCTGCATTCAGATTGACATTTTTAAATATTTTATTTAACGTTTATTTTATTCTATGTATGAGTGTATTGCCTGCATGTAAGTGCACCATGCCTATGCAGTGGCCACAGAAGTCAGAAAGGGTGTCAGATTCTACTGGAACTGGAGTTACAGACAGTTTAGCCACCATGTAGGTGCTGGGAATTGAACCCAAGTCTTCTGCAAGAGGAGCCAGTGCTTTTAACTGATGAGCCATCTCTCCAGTCTCCAGGCTGACATGTTTTAACTTCCACACATAGCTTGTTTCATTTAGCACAATATCTTTCAGTTCCATGCACTTTATGCAAATTACAGGATTTCCTTCTTCTTTGTGGCTAAGTAACATTCCATTGTGGATGTGCAGAATGTTCTATCCATTCATCTGTTGATGAGCACCAATGTCCTAGCTGCAGTGAACATAGTGCAGTTATTTTTTTTGTCCTTGTCTGGTTTTAGTACCAAAGTAATCTCCCCTCATATGTTTTTGTTGAGTTCTTACTATGCCCCAGACTCTGTTATGTGCTTTACCTCCACTATTCCAGTTAAGAGACTGTAGGTAGATTTAAAAACTTACCTTTATACTACAGATGAAAAAACTGAGGCTAAGGTATGTTAAAATGTCCTGAAACCTTACATGCCTAATGCTACCAGATCTTGAATTCTTGATTTTAGAGATTATTTTCTCTTAGTTACCCATTGGACCAACTGTTTTCTGCTTGGTGATAATCTAAGGATTTGTTGCAGTTGTTGTTGCTGTTGCTTGGTTTGTGTGTGACAGGATCAAGCAATGTAGGCCAGGCTAGTTTGGAATTCATGATCCTCCTGCCTCAGCCTCTCAAATGCTGGGACTATGGGTATGGACCACCACACCAGTGATGTTAATCTTCTTACGTTAGCCTTCTCCTATAGTGTATTCTGTTTTGGGGGGAGTGTCCCATGGGAAAGCCTCTCTCCTTTATGGAAAGAGGCTTTAATTCTATTGTTAAAAAGTAGCACCTAAGTAACTCATCTCCAAAGTGATGATTCACATCGTTTTGTGTGCCTACTCCTGACCCCCTTGGCACTGTATAATCTCTTTATATCTATTGACAGCAAATTTTTACCCTTAACACCAAAATCTGGCTCTGCCATGGGTTTAGAGACATGACAAGTCCGATTAAAGCATTACAAGCTCTAACGTTCAAAGTTTAGTGAAAGACACCAAGTTTCTCACAAGGGCAAGAAACCAGACTCATTAAAGAATGGAACAAGAAAAAAATGAAACTGTTGTTCAGCATAAAGGATTAAGAAAAATGTCTGAAAATCTTGTAAAATGTGGCTATGAGCTAAGTTAGGATATTGTCAACTCTCCTTTTGGAGTCTTAAAAATTAGTTTAGACCTATCTATTGGGGACAGTGTGATGCAGACCTAGCTCTATCCTTGCCCAAGGGCTGACAGATGGCTGGAATGACCTCCCAGCATCTCTCCCAACCCCACACTTCTGCTTTCCCATGTTTGTGGACCGGCTTGTTAGCTAGCTCAGATTTGCCCTTGCAAGTTAGTGAAGGAATCAAATGCTTAAAAGGAAGCAGGTAGATTCTTCCAAAAATAAAGCCTGTCTCCCTATTGCAGTTTCCATTAGATACTTGCTTCCTTAAATCACTAAGTATTTTTGGTCTTCTAGAGTTCCTTAACAGAACGAAGTTTACACAAGTGAAGATAAAATAAGTAATAAGTAAAACTTATCAAATAAGGGCTAAGCAAACCTCAGGGCTCCACAGCAAACCAAGAACCAAGATACAGAAAGAGGTAGACAGAACTATAATTGTGCCTAACTAGAAGTGGGCTGCAAGCTCCTGCCAAAGATGAGGCTGTCCCCTCTCTCAGATGAATTGCATTGTTCTTTTGATGAATCCAGAATTCCTATCAGGTACAAACACTGACCAAGGGATATTATACGTCCAGCACACTATACATCAGTGTGTTGGATAGCTTTAGTTGTCAACTTGACATACCTGAGTTGAAGGAGCCTCAATTGGGGAATTTCCTCCATTGGACTGGCCTGTGGTCATGTCTGTAGTGCACTTTCTTGATTGTTGGGTCATGTGGGAGGGCCCAGCACATTATGGGTGGTGCCACCCCTGGGCAGAGTGTTCTGTATTGTATAAGAAAGACTGAGCAAGGGTCAGGGAACAAGCCAGTAAGCAGTGTTCCTCCATGGCCTGTGCTTCAGCTCTTGCCTCTAGGTTTCTGACCTGAGTTCCTACTTCGGGCTCCCTCAGTGATGAACTGTAACCAAAGATATGTAACATAAAATAAACCCCAAGTTGGTATTGATCTGAGTGTTTTGTCACTGCAACTGAAGAACAAACTAGAGCAATCAGTAAAGGAAACAGACATGGCTTTTACCTTCCTACAAAACGCTGAACATGCAGTGAACACTTAGCAATTGCTCCTTCCCAAGAGGCCTACACTCCTGTGACAAATATGTCCCTACTGCTTTTCTGGGAAGTAAAAGCAAAAGTTCTTTATCCTCAAGGAGCTTACCTTCTGGCCAGGGGTGGTTGTATAATGAATAAGGCACAAAGTTCTCTAGGAACTGTGACCTGGAGGCCAGCCCTAACTGCTAAGCGTTCATGTGTCTATGGACATGAGAATGCTGAGTAGCTAGAGAAGGAATGTGTTGAGGAAAGGGGAGGCACCTGGAGAATATTCCACCTAGAATTCCCAAACACTGGGCTGCTCAAGGGTGGGGCACTGGCCTCCCCCATGTATGGGCCCTAGGTTCAATTCTCAGCACTGTAAAGGGGAGGTAGGGCTATCAAATGCTGTAAAAGCACAATTTCCTTATGTGGCATGAAAGAGGGTAGTTCATATCTGTCTCTTTCTTATAATTTTTCAAATTTTTATACAATAAACAACATAAAAAATTTTAATTCATCTCATTTTACCTTATAGCTTTAATGTGTTAGATTTTAACTACTGCTTGTAAACTAAGATCAAGTTCTATAACTCTGATGAGAATTGGAGCCTAAATTCAAGATCCAGTAAGAGTTTTACTCTGATGACATAAGCATTCAGTCAAATGGAAATGTGTTTAGTGTTACTGTATTCAAACAATATACTTGCCATGGTGACATGGATTTTCCCCACCTACACTATATATGAATTATAGGTTGGTTCCTGCACTATAGGTGGACCTGTGGCAGCCCAGCAGTATCTCCTGTCTGTCAGAGGAGACAGTTACTGATGTCCGTATTCCCCAAAATGCTTCCAGAACCCTGTTAGCCTTCTTACAAGAAGCCCACATCCAATACACGTAAGCATTCTTCTTCATTTGCTACAAAATTTAATTGTACTAAATTCAATTGAATGATTATTACATTTAGATTGTTTGTTTATCAAGAGCTTTTAACCAGGTTTTAAGTGGTATTTCATTATGACAAAATAAACGTGAGTATATTCGCCTTTGATGAGTATATTTGTCTAATGGGAAAGCACAGGTAAGAACCAACAGACTCATTGCTAGGGTTTTGTTGGATAGGAACATAGAAAGGTCAGGATGCTAAGGAAGAAAAGGGTCCCAGTGAGGAACTGGTTCAAGTATTCACTCATGGTGTCTAACCTAGAAAAAGAAAGAGGCAATCCTAGGAGGGACTATGGGGGGAAATGGAAGAATCTAGGAAGGTCTGAAGGTCTTTATATTGAAAACAAGTATAGTGTAACTGAAGGCAACAGATGAGAAGGACAGATATTTTGACAAAATATAAATAAAGGATGTTACAAATTCTAGGAAATAAAGTGTGTGGCTGGTGACAAAATTGAAGGGCTAGCCATGAAAGAGATGACTGAAGTGGGATTAGGGATGCAGATTGCTGAATCTAATGTGGACAAGACTGGAAAGGCTAGATCACCAGAGAATGATCATGGTGGTCTTGACTCTTCTTGGCTGATGGCAAGATCACAGGTGAAGAGTGTTGCTAAGAGTCAGAGGATAGCAGCAGGAACGGTATGATGCTAGAGGGAAAACAAGCTTGCCCTGGAAGTTAGATTGACAGACAACCTCAGACAGAACTCTGGCCTCGAGTCACAGGGACAGTTCTCTCAACAGCCTGGAAGGGGCAGGAAGATTGTTTACAGTGAAAGGCAATTCAGTGAGCATAAGGAAAAAAAGACATGCAGAGAAGGGGAGCCAGTAGAAGACCTAGGAAGAGGAAGAACTACGTAGTGAATTAATGAGACAGAAGGGCATAGCTTACTTGGCCAACAGGCATGACCGTAAATCACTACCATTGACAACCCCAGGAATGAGTTTGCTCTTCTAATTTTTTAAAATAGATTATTGCATGGTAAATAGGCAAACGAGTCCTTCATTATGCCTAGGAAGGCTGGGGCAGGGTGATAGCTGTGTGGGTCAATGGTGAGAAGCCTAGGTTCACAGGAAGGCTGGAACAAAGAATACAAAATGGCAGTGATGTTCCTGGTCCACACAAACACCAACCTACTGGAAAGATATATAAAATCTTCCTAAAGTACTGATACGCTTCTTGCAGAAAAATCCTTTATCTGTATCTCTAGAACAAAATCACAGCTGTGTATAAAACCATTGTTCATGTCATTCCTATTTTCATCGCTGCTGTAGTTGGAAGGCATGCTTTGATTCTTTGAATGCCTAGCAGGAAAGAGTTTGGTAATTATATCTATAGGTACTCAGCAACAACTCACATGCTTCATCAATTATTGTTCAGTAAAAAAGAACATACCAGTTGGTTTAACAAGTCTCTATTTCCTGCCATTAACTATAAGTCATGTGGAAATGATATAGAATAAAATACCACACTTTGTGTTGCAGAAAATAGAGAAAAAAAGTATTTTAAGTCAGTTGTCTCCTCATGAAGAACAATCATTTAAAATTACTCATTTTGTTAGTCCCAAGATAATAACACATAAGAGTCAATTAAATTCTGCAGGCACAGTAGGTAGAGATCATTTTAATTGACTTTTATTATTGTAGCCTGGGGTATTTTCAAAAGATTATCATTTACTCTGTAAAACTATACATAATGCATCGCTATAGTGATCTGTAAAGCAGAGGCGATGTGACTTGCTGTTTCTATGCCCCTAGGTGGTCAGCCCCTCTCAATGAGATGACTCATTCTGCCATTAAAAAAAAATCAGTCGTTTTATAAATACCTGTAAAAATTGGCAATGAAATTTCGTTTTTGAGAGTTCTGCCTTAGCCTGGGAATTGATAGGGAAGTCATTTTGTACTAAGTAATAACATCATTTGAAAAGTTTTTGATAGTTCTAGTTACCATTATAAAATGTTCCCAGTTGAAATAAAAATCACAGTCAGGGCCACTGAGATGGCTCAGTGAGTAAAAGTACTTGCTGCCAATTCTGACAACTTGAGATTGATCCCCAAGAACCACAGTGTAGAAGGAGAGAACAAAATATCTGTGGGTTGACCTCTGTCCTCCATACACATACCAGAGCATACACACACACACACACACACACACACACACACACACACATACACACACATATGTGTTCACACACACCTGTGACATAAATAAAAACATTTATTTCAAAATTTAATTATAGCAAGATTACTATATGCTGAAAAGCAAAAAAATCTTTAATTCATCTATACAGAGAAAGAAATAGATCTAAAAAGGATACACACACACACACACACACACACACACACACACATGCACACACACATGTGTTCACACACACATGCATGCATATACACATGCACGTGCACAAATAAATTAATAAGAAAGTACTCACAATCACTAAGAAAATACAACAGCTTGAAAGATCTTTTGGTACACCAGTTTTTTCATCAATATGCTGGTTTCCAGTTAACTACTTTTACAAGGAAAATAGGGCTGGGTTGCTATGTCAAAGAGTTTGTGTTAGGATCTAGTCTAAGTAACTGGACAGACCTGTATCAGTTTGCTGAAGCTACTGTAACAAGTAATCCCAGACCTTTTAAGTTGGGCACTTGGAAGGGGATTCTTGTGTAGACTGCTGGCTGTGAAAATCTATTGACATTTTTCCCCTAGTTTACTAGGATAGAAAAAAAGAGTCTGAGAAGTAGTTCTAGGAGGGAAACGTGCCTGAAGATGGCCTGCAGTAGCTTTTATAACTACATCTTCCCTAATCAAACTCACCACCTTCCTGACTCTCCAGATTCCCTCCAAGCAGGAGGAACTCTGGAAGTTGGCATAGAGCTCATTGGCTGTAGGACCTGCCTCAACGATATTGTAAAGTCAATTTATGCCATGCACCTAAACATCACAACTTCTTATTTTGGGGAAGAAAAAAAATACTAATAATGAAAATGTGTATTCTGACAAATTACAATCACTCACAGTTTTGAGCCACTGTAAGCAGCAGCCAAAAATATTTACCAAGGTTAGTACCGCCTCACCTCATCTTTATTTCTAAAATGTTTCCAGCCATAAAGTAGAAAATTAAAGGAAAGGAAGAGTAAGTCAATAATCTACTTCTGGTTGGGTGTTCTGTCTGTAGCAGGGACTCAGTAAATGATAAATAGATAAGCCCACAATGCCTGGTCCCTAAGTAAATTAGCTTCCTTCAATATATGTATATATTCGGGTGATTCTATTCATTAAGTGGCTTACACAGAGCAGCCTTGAACATCACTTAAACATGCCACATGTTCTTTTATATCACTTACACCCGTAGGCAGCAGGTTCTTTTAGAAGATAAAATGTGAAAGCAAAGCTTTTTAGCCACATGCAGCGGCCAGAAAACCACCAAAGATCTCTTTAACATCTTTAAATATTGCAAAGGAAAAAAGCACCTGTTTCTTCATGGCCCTCTAGTAAGTGGTGGCCAGTGAGTACTGGGAAGACATACCTGGAGCCAGTTCCACCCATAGCCACCAGCCTGGCATCCCTGGGCTAACCTGAACCTCCAGCTTCTAAATGCATTTACTTTTCAGAACTGAGTTTCTCTCCCTTGCATTCCTGGTGCTGTGGACAGAGAGACAGCTTGATCTGCCTCTGTGCATATCTTGATTAGTTTCCTCTTGAGAACTGAGGCTTCTTTCATCCTTTGTCTTTCCTGGGTCCAGCATGTGGGGTGATGGCATGAAAGCAGATGATAAAGACAGAGACAGGAGCAGATAGAAGCATCTGGAAAGAAAAGGAGAGGGAGTCCAGAAGCAGCCAGGGCTCAGTTTTCATCATGCCACACTGGACATGAAGTTGCAAGAACAGAATTTTCAGGTTCCCGTTCCAAGCTCAGATTCTGTCTTTGTGGTCTCAACAGAGAGACACCGGCACATCTGTAAGAAGGAGATTACAATAGGATCCAACACAAAGGGTTAGTAAGGAAGATCGTTCACATAAAATGCATAGCACAGTGCCTGGCCCCTGGTAAGCACTGTCTGTAAGGTTTGTTCACAGCCATTGTTCACATTTATAGTCGCTCACTCCACAGTGACTCTTACTACAGCACTGCTTTTGTTTGGGAGACATCTGCCTATAATTTCACACTTTAAAGTCAATACATCATTTATTTAACAGTTTGTATTTCCCAGGAAAAGAACATTTTTCTCAACATTTGGTATTTTTAGAAATGTTGGTCTCCACAGCCTTTTTCCTTTCACTCTGTGGAACACTGGGCTCTTTTTGCTATCTTTGTCTTTCTGCATCGGAGTTTGGGATATTGCCTGATCTCAGTTTGCTTCTCATCATGATTATTATTCCAAATCCAGGATCCTCATAGAAGATCTTCAGAAAGCACTGGAAAATGGAAGCAGCTTGCAAACCCAGAGAAAGAGAAGATCCCCATCTGAATACAACTATGAAGTTTATCACTCCTTAGAAGAAGTATGTTATCAAAGAAGTTTTATTGCTCGTTTTTGTTTGTTTGTTCATTTGTTTTTACAAATTCATCATTGTCACTAGGATTAGAGAGGATCATGGAAACAGAGACACGGGCTCTGTAACATACAGACTTCTTACATAGCCTAGACCCCTCTGTCTACTCACCTCTTCCACTGAGCATTTTACTGCTGCATAAGAAGTAGTGAGCCAGCAAGACAGCTTAGAGGGCAGAAGCACTTGCTGCAAAGCTTGGAAACCTGGGTTTCATCTGCAGGGCCCACAGGGTAGAAAGAGAGAACCTATCGCACAAACTGTCCTCTGACCTTCACAAGTGTAGGCCTACACACACATACACACACACACACACACACACACACACACAATGCTAAATAAATGTAACAAAACAATTTTAAAGGAGTAACAAAATAATTTAAATTTTACTAACTTTACCTAAACCAACTCCACAAAGGATTATAAAAGCCTTAACTAAAGCCATGGGAAGTAGAGCTAGCCAGAGTTAGAGGGCAGTGCTTTGGCTGGGGAGCACAGTAGAGTTTGATATTAGAGTTTGATAGTAGAGCTTGCACCCTTACAAAGCTGAGACTTCTCAACAGTCAGCCTGCATCAGTGATGGACCCTTGTACATGCTGTCAATGAATCCTCATGGAAAGCTGACAGCAGTCCCCTCCTCACTACCACATCCTTTACTCTTCCCTTCACTTGTTTTCCCTTAAATTTCAGCTAAAACACAAAAGTAGTTCTTTCTATTCTGCTGGGTTACACAGAGCCCTTCTGGTCACCAACTCCTAGTGCATCCCAAGCCCCCCAACACATGATTTAGTACCTTTGTCCATCCATACTTACATCACTGTATGATTGACTGATACCATCTCTACTAATAAGCTGCAAGTTCCATGAGGTTAGTTTTTCACATTCACCACTATCTCCCCAATGCAAACTAATAGTCTTACAAATAAAAAAGTTGTTGACAAAGTAAAAAAATACATGTGTTTTCCATGAATTTTCTACATTGAACAGAGGAATGCTAGCCGTACAACTAATGAGATCCTATTTCTTATTAGTAATGTTTTTGTTTCTTTGATGACAACTCCTCTCAAAATTTCTTTTGCTTATTTCGTGTCTCAACATACTCTGTAGAAGTCTGAAATTAAAAGAAATAGAAAGGTTTTAGATAATACATGAAAGTACATTAGAATGCCTTAGAAATAAAGCCAAATCTCAAAAATAGATGTAGATAGTCATGTACATATATGGGTAGGTATACACATATATGGAGCTCCTGCTTATTAGATTAAGTGAGAATATAAGGAAAATATATGAGTACTTTCTAAAATATATGTATGTATCCTTTTTGCACAGACCCTCTTCACAACTTGGAACAGCAGGGCACTCCCATGTGACTTCCTTATTCCTTGCACAGGGCTTTTAAGTCAGAAATGTCACCCATCTCTCTAAGTGCCTTATTCATCCATCTCCAATATACCTTCTCCTGGTGACAGATAAGTGTGTGTGAATGGACTGATGCAAATGTGCACTATCTCTAGAGGAATTATACAAAATATGCCCTCCAGAGTGTGACTCAGTAAAGTAACCTTTAAATGCAAAAGATACTGCCTTTTTCTGAGTAGTTTCTGTTCCATGGAAAATTATAATATCTGAGGCTTTAATAACACTTTCATTTGGATGGTTTACCAGAAGCTGATTCATTTTTTTTCCTTTCCTCTTAAATGCTTGTATGAAAATGAAAATAAATTTGGATTTCCAAAAAAGAAACCAGAGCACACCAGTTAATGTGATGTTATTAGCAGGTGATAGTAAAAGGCATCTTTTAAAGAGGTGGCTATGAAAAGACATAACCTACTGCCTTTAAATGAAGAAAATAAAATGTAATCTTAGGTATGGTAAAGACAATTAAAAGCAGGTGATTGGGGTTTTGTTTTGTTTTTCCTTCTGCTTTACTCTGCGTGTGCTCTGAATTCTGAGATCTACTGCTGTCTTTTTGTTGCCTTTTGTTCTTTAGAGCTCCACTGTTGGGAGGGAGCCTGACATAATTTTTATTTATCTGCTTTCAGATTCAGAGCTGGATGCACCATCTGAATAAGACTCAGTCAGGCCTCATTCGGATGTTCTCTATTGGAAGATCGTACGAAGGAAGGCCTCTCTTCGTTTTAAAGGTAAAAAAGAATAAATTGTTAATGTAAAATAGCATTTTCACTTTGACTTGTAGGGAAAAATGAAATGATCTTTCAGAGTCCCATATTTAACATTATCTTGATAATTTAAGGCGGGGGGAACCTTGGATTTTTGTGCCCTGCCTAATGCGGTTTTTGAATATTCTAGGAAATACTGTTCGTGAGATATTCAGTTCTTGATGGAAATTGCTTGTGAACTGTTGCTACTTATGATGAACCAGTCAAAGCTATATAAATGTAGAGGAAGTTTGGCTTTATTCCCCTCCCTTAACCCTGCCTCCTCTTCCAGATACTGGCCTCAGTTCTCTCTCTCTTCTTTTTTTAAAAATATTTTATTTATTATTTTTATTTTATGTGTATGAATGTATTGCCTGCATGCATGTGAGTGCACCCGTATCATGCAATGCTGTGGAGGTCAGAAGAGGGCTTCAGATTCCCCTGGAACTGGAGCTAAGGACAGTTCGTAGCCGCCATGTGGGTGCTGGGAATTGAACCCGGGTCCTCTGCAAGAGCAGTCAGTGGTCTTAACTGCTGAGCCATCTCTCCAGCCCCTCTCTCTCTCTCTCTTCTTAATCAAGCTTCTAGTAGGATTTATCTTCTTCATCATCTACTTCCTCACCTTGCCTTCAGACTTTGATCCTCTGGCTTTTATCCCCAGGCCTCTTGCTCAGGTCAAGTTCCTCTTGCTCAGGTCAGCGATGACCCCCAGGTGACTCTTCTCTGTACTGTCTGGCCATTCCCTCGGTCACATTCACTGACTTCTCTTCCCTTACCCTTGCTGAGGTTCTGGAAATTCCTACTCTACCTTCATCTCTGCTGTCACTCTGCAAACTCCTTCTAAATACCTCTATTCCATGGTTATGATCATCCTAGATCTTTTATCTACTCTCTGGACTTTAAATTCATGCAAGACAACCTTACCTGGATATTCACAAAAGTATCTCAGACTTAGGCCAGGCCATTCCCTTCCTAGTTTAGAAACATCAGTTTCTTCTTGAACTTCTCTTCTGTATTTTAGCCACTCACTTTCAATGTACCACTAAAGGCTGACCATTCTTTAGGAGCACTCCCACCTTCTTGTCTCCTCTGCTGCTGCCTGAACTTAGCTCTGTGTCTGTTCTCCCTGGACTATTTCAACAGTAACTTCAGTGCTGAGCTTCCTTTGGAGCCCCCATCCTTGACCTTCTTATTCTGTAACCCATCCTCCACACTGCAGTGAGTGTGAGCTTTCCAAAGCAAGCACATATACATGGAGAGGGAGGGAGGGACAGGGAGAGAGAGAGAGGAAGGGAGAGAGAGAGAGAGAGAGAGAGAGAGAGAGAGAGATCTCATAGAATACAAGGTACAGCTGCCTCTCTTTCACACAGCACCTAGGGACTCCATCTGTTCTCTGCCTCTGAATTTAGCTTCATACACTGCTCCTTCCTCCACCTACTGGTGCAATTCCTCAAATGCAGTGTCCTTACATTCCCTTTCAAGCTTCAGATGTCTTCCTCTAACTTGTCTTCCAAGCAAGCTTCCAGTCTTGCTTACTCAAGCTTCCTTTTATTTCCAACACCCCCCACCCCCCACCCCAGAAATTCAACAAAGCATGCCATGTTTGTAAGGAAACTTGTGGATATTAACATAATGAAGGTTGAATGGATTGTTCCTGTCCTGCCCACCAAGATGTAAATTCCTTGAATCCCAGGACTGGGCCTAAAGTCTGACATTAAGAAACACTTCTTAAAATGTTAGTTGAAGGAATTTGTGAATGAAAACAGATCCTTTATGAATATGTCAAGTGCTACCTATTGATGACTGGGTTAGAAACCAGGTTAAAAGCAATATTCATGTAGTCTGGGTTTTTGTAATTTGTACCTTGATTCCACAGATCAAATTTGATGTTTCTATTTTTTTAGTGTTCTAAGGTTTGGCTTTACTTGCCTGTAAAGACACAGTCCTTAAGAAATATTCCTTAGAACATTATGATTCTTTGGGATGGGTGTGGGAAAGAGGGAGAGGAGGAAGGCGGGAGAAGGAGGAAATTTCACATTTCAATTAGTTATGTATGATATTAAAATGAAGAAGCAATGCTATTTTAGAAATTTCCCTTTTCCTTCTGTATTTTTTAGTTCTTTGATTGCAATTAGGGAAATAAATTCATCATTCCTACATAAACAAGACTGGATTTCCAAAGTAGATAGGAAATCTCTTTATGTTTTTAATATGTTACCCAATAAACAAAGCCATAATGAAGAATTATGCTGAGCCCGTATTAAATTATGCTGGTCAGTGAATCCAAAAACAAAAGCCTGAGTTGGTTACTCTGAACATTCTTGTTTTCAGCTGGGCAGAAAATCACGAGCATACAAAAGAGCTGTCTGGATAGACTGTGGCATTCATGCAAGAGAATGGATTGGTCCTGCCTTTTGTCAGTGGTTTGTAAGAGAAGTAAGTTAAACCCTTTACAAAGTGTCCACTTCAGCTAGACCTGAGCTGCACGAGTTTTTATCCCACTCAAGGAACAGGGATTTGAAACCAGCAATACCTGACTGAAAGATAATGACACCTTGGTTCCATAGGCTGCTTTCATGTTTATGGACTCCTCTAAATCCCTGGCTCAGTATCCTCACCTCTGCCCTCAAAAGGTAGAATTATCAGCCCCAATTTAAAAAAAAGAATCTGGGGATCTGGGAATGTAGCTTAGATAGTAGAGTGCTTGTGTCTAGCATACACAAATTCCTGAGTTTGAACCCTAGCACCACATAAATTGAGCATGATGGTACACAGCTCTAAACCTAGCACTTTGAAGGTGGAGGCACAAGTTCAAGGTTATCTACATAGAGAGCTACAACGAGAGTTCAAAGCCAGTCTGGGCCACATGAGACCCTCTCTCAAAAAAGAAGAAAAAAGTCTAGGGCTCAGAGCTTTTATGAATTTGGGACAAATTAAGAACCAACCACAGCAGTAAGTGTGTTTGTTAAGGTCTAAAGTGTAATTTGTGGTGGTCTAGGGCAATTATCCAAATTATCCAGCTCAGAAAGCTCTTCACCATTTCACGTCCCTTTCAAAATTGCCTCATGCTATAGCAAATAAAAATGTAAATGAATGGTCACTTATGCCCTCCTGTTCTAAATCTGTAGTTCTAAGAGCAAAAGATCTTCACTGTGGGCATACATCACACTCTCAGTTGCTTCTAAGGTAGTTGATGACTCACGTGACTTTTCATTTTCCAAATACTTTGTCTAACTCTTGAGCCCTCCTACCTAGTGTACCGAGTGGAACCCCAAGACTTAGCCCAAAGATGGGTCTGCACCTCAAGAATTTAATGACTTTCATTGTTGGTTGTTTTAATCTTGACTTTAGATTTGGAGAATGGGGGTTTAAAAGAAAGCAAATCACTAAACGTAGCAAAAGTGAAGGAGTCTGGGGAAATGAAGTTTCTTAGCCACACATTTCTTCAGTCCTGTACTTAATGAAGCTATTAAGGATGCAAAAGATATGCAAATATATTTCAGTTCTATTCTACTGTGTTTTATGTGGAAATTATGTGTCTTTGAGGACTCTCCTAACTACCACAAAAAATATTTCCTAAGTATTTAAGTGTACTAAATCTGCAAAGTCTGTCCTTGACTACCAAACCTTACAAAACTCTAATTAAATATTGGTTAATAAACTGTTCATACTCAAATTATTGAATAATCCATGTTCCTTTAAATATCAGTTGACCCTGGTAAAAATAAATGCAAAAGCTAATAAAAATTATTAGTGCTATTAATATATCAATTACTCAGGGTTTACTTTAACAACATCATATCTGTTGTTTCAAATTTGGGTGCAGGGCAACAATCAGAAGTAGACAAGAGGAGGCCTAGATGTCATTCACCCTAGTATCTTTGCAGACAAAACAAGGCCACAAAAGTGTGACAGCCACATGGTAGCAGTAATTAGCGCAAGTCAGTATTTCATAGTGTGCTTGTTATCATATAGTTGAACATCACGAGTCATCAGGGAAATGAACATTAAAACTACTTTGAGATACCACTTCACCCCAGTTCATGGCTAATATCAAGAAACCTGACAACAAATACTGTCAAGAATGTAGGGAAAGAGGAACCTTGCTCACTGCTGGTAGGAGTGCAAACTAGTAGAGTCACTATGCAAATCAGTGTGGAAGCTTCTCAAAAATAAACTAGCATATGACCCAGCTAGTCCACTCCTGGGCATATACCCAACCTACCACAGACATACTTGCACATCTGTGTTTATTGCTGCTCTATTCACAATATGAAGGAAGTGGAATCAGCCTAAATGATGAATGGATAATGAAAATGTGGTACATATACACGGTGAAATTTTATTCAGCTGTAAAGAGAAGTGAAAATATGAAATTTTCAGGAAAATGGATGAATCTGGAAAATATAATATTAAGCAAAGTGATCCAAATTCAGAAAGAAAAAAATATACATTCTTTTTCATATGTGGATCCTAACATGGAGAGAGAGAGAGAGAGAGAGAGAGAGAGAGAGAGAGAGAGAGAGAATGTGAGAAAAGCCTAAAACTCTAGACAGAAGATGAATGGAGGGAAAAAAATAGAAGTAAGGACAGGGTGGGCAAAAGGCACATGGAATATAAAAGAGGAAAAAAAAACTGGAGAGAGGGTAGCAAGGGGGAGTCAGGAGTAGCAGGGGTCGGGGGAGAGGAGGGGAAGGAGAATCCGTGAAGATATCTAATGGCATAACAATAGCTAACAGTTTGTATGCTGATATAAAATGTTTTAATTGAAAAAACAATGTGTAGAACAAATGAGGAAAGCACTCTATATCGACCTCTGGCTTCCACAAGCATGTTCACACACATTCGCATGCACCATACAAACATGTCCACACAGAAGCATAAAAAATAATTTGAATATCCTTGCCACAGTTAAGAATATATCCATATTCTACCAAATGTTTAAAGATGAGTTAGTATCAGTTCATATTCTCCCCTTCATAAAATAGAAGAGAAAGGAACACTTCCAATTCATTTTATGAAGTCTGATACCAAAACCAGATAGAGGCAATACAATAAAAAAGCTAAAGGCCAACATCATTCATGAATATGGACAAAAAATTCTTTAAAATATTATTAAATAGAATTTAATAATCTATAAGAAGAATTTTTCACCATGACCAAATGACATTTATTTTAGGTGTGCAAGCCTGGTTCAATACACAAAAATTAATCAATACAGTTCACCATAGTAACAGCTAAAGGAGAAAAATCACTTGACCTTGTCAATTGGTACAGAGAAAGCCCTTGACAAAATTCAACACATCTTCATGATAAACACTCCCAGAGAAAGAAATAGAGCAGTTTTCTAAACTTTAAAAATTACTTCTGCCAAACACCATAATTAATAGAAAACAACCAAATGCCTTCTCCCTAAACTTAGAAATAAGCCAGGAATGTCCACTTTCACCTCTCTAAGGTAACAATAGTGCTGGAAGTTCCAGCAGGTGCCATCAAGCAAAATAAAGAAAGAAAGGGCATATAAGATGGAAAAGAATAAAATTATCTCTGCCTGCAGATGATGTGTTTTTTCTACCTAAAAGATACCAAGAAATTGGGGCTGGAGAGATGGCTCAGCAGTTAAGAACACTGGTTGTTCTTGCAGAAGACCCAGGTTTGAATCTCAGCACCCACATGGCAGCTAACAATTGTCTGTAATTCCAGTTCCAGGGGATCCGACAGCCTATTCTGTCCTCCACGGGCATTGCACGACATGGGTGCACCTACCTAGATGCAGGCAGTACACACATATATGTAAAATTAATAAATAAAATATTTTTTAAAAAAGATTCCAAGAAATCTACAGAAATATTCTGTAGGACTAATGAGTGGGTTTTTAGGGTCATACAACACAAGAGAAAAATACAAAGTCGATTATATTGCCATATAATAGCAAAAAACACATTGACAATGAAATATTTAAAAATAATAAATATAGTTACTCAAAAGAGAAAAGTAGGTCTAAATTTAACATAACCTGTGCTTGTATTTTATGTTGAAGATGAAGATTACAGAAATGCTGGTTAAATAAGTGAAAAGAAATCTAAATAAGGAAATATTTATTCATTGGAAAACTTAAAGATATCAATTCTTGGGGTTTGAGAAATGGTTCAGTGGTTAAGAGTACTACGCTCTTGCAGAAGACCCTAGTTTGGTTCCTAGCACCCACTTGGATGCTAACCACCATCCTTAACTCTAGTTTTCCAAGAGATACAATGCCTTCTTCTGGCCTCTGCAGGCATTTCACACATGGGTGCACTTACATACACACAGGCAAAACACTCATATACATAAAATAAATAAATAATTTAAGAATATCAATTATTCCCATATTAATATTCAAATTTACCATAATTCATATCAGAATTACACCAAGTTTTTTCATTTCATTTATTTATTTTAATTTGCTTTTATTAAATTTTGATGTTTTTCATACAGAATATCGCAAACCATCTGAATCATCTTTATAGCCCCATCTCCACCAAACTCCTCCCATAGCCCCTGACTGGAACTCAAATACTCTGTCCTAGGTGTTAAGGCCCACTGTATCAAGTCAGTGTCCCCAGACATTCTCCAGTGCAAGTTCATCCACTTGCGATCTAGTCAGATTCCTCTCTTCTATCTATCTAAACACCTATTATTTTCTATTTTTTTAGCAGAGCATAGGGTGGTGGTTTATTTACAGAGAAGTGGGTACCCCCCATTTATGGCTGCACTGGAAAGTCTACACTTAAATATAGATCCTGTGACTTCCTGACAGAAGAAAATGGTGAGAGAGGTGCCTCCTGGCATTCTTGGCTTATATATCCTTAGCCCCTCCCCCACATGCAGCTAAGATCCACTGATTGGGTGGGAGGAGTAACTGACTGCCCCCTCAACTCCTTGATGAGTGTGGGAAGGAGGTGTGACTATAGCTTGCTGGCATAGTGGTCGGAGGACACTTCCAGTTAACACTCCACCCCTTCTGCTAGCTCTTACATTCTTTCTGCCAACCTCCTCTGCAAAAGTCCCTGAGCCTTGGAGGGAGTGGTAGGTGTGGGATGATCTTCCTCCTTTTGTGGCAAGGCACTGAACTTCTGGGTCTCTGCATAGTCAGTTTTCCATGGGTTGTTGATCCACTTCAGTGGAATTCCATCTACTATAAAAACACAAACAGCAAGAAGCAAGAACATTTAAAGAGTAGCTGCTATAATAACTTAATCTATGGGTGTAAACACAAACACTTGGATGGTACTTTAATAATGCATCACATCCATCTAACAAAACAATTGCAGTGACTTCCCACTGGGGCCTATATTCTCCCCTGCCACAGGGCGTTGGCCTGGTCTACAGTACCAGAGGTATGTTCCACCCCTAGGAGTGGGCATTATACCCAATCAAAAATTTGCCAGTTGTAC